AGGCTGAGGTAGGTGGATCACAAAGTTAGGAGTTTGAGACCAGCCTGGCTAACATGGTGAAACCCTGTCTCAACTATAAATACAAAAAAAATAATTAGCCAGGCACAGTGGTACATGCCTGTTAGTCTCAGCTACTTGGGAGGTTGAGGCAGGAGAATTGCCTGAAGCCAGGAGGTGGAGATTGTGCCACTGCACTCCAGCCTGGGTGACAGGGCAAGACTCCATCTCAAAAATTAAAAAAAGGTTAGCTATTATTAAAAACAGATGCTTCCAAGTCTTTGCTATTGTCAATAGTGCCACAGTGAACATACGTGTGCGGGCATGTGTAACAATGTAACAATCCTATGTAACAATCCTACACGATCTGCTCATGTACCCCAGAACTTAAAGAATAGAACAAAACAAAAACAGGTGCTTTTGAGGTTGCAGAAAAAAGGGAACACCTATACACTTTTAGTGGGAGTGTAAATCAGTTCAACCATTCTGGAAAGCAGTGTGGTGATTCCTCAAAGAGCTAAAAGCAGAAGTAGCATTGGGCCCAACAATCCCATTACTGGGTGTGTATATATGTATACACACACACACACACACACACACACACACACACACACACACACTGAGATGAATACAAATCATTCTCCCATAAAGACACATGCACATAAATGTTCACTGCAGCACTGTTCACGATATCAAAGACATGGAGTCAACCTAAATGCTCATCAATGACAGATTGAATAAATAAAACGTACTACATACACACCACGGAATACTATGCAGCCATAAAAAAGAATGAGATCATGTCTTCTGTGGTAACATGGATAGAGCTAAAGGCTATCATCCTTAGCAAACTAAGACAGGAACAGAAAACCAAATACCACATGTTCTCACTTACAAGCTAAGTAACACATGGACACAAAAAGGGGAAAACAGCCACTGGGGTCTACCTGAGGGTGGAGGATAGGAGGAGGGAGGGGAGCAGAAAAAGTAATTACTGGGTCCTGGGCTTAACACTTGGGTGATAAAATAGTCTGTACAGCCAACCCCCATGACACAAGTTTACCTATCTAACAAGCCTTCACATGTACCCCAAAAACTAAAAGTTAAAGAATGTTAGCTGTCAGCACTTCTGTTCATTTTGTACTCTCTCTTCTTTATATCTGATGTCCATTATTTATATTACCTATATGTATGCCTAATAAAGAAATTAGTTGAACTATTTAAATTATATGCAGTTATTAAATTGGGCTAGTAATAATTTTAGCTATAAAATCCCACACTAAATAACCAGTTAAAAAAACATGAGATCAGATGAACAGCAGCAAGAGGTTAAAAAAAAAGTGTATAGAATTTAGCAAAGCAGTGTATCTGCTTTGACAGCTTTAAAAGGCTTCTGTTAGATAAAAACCTTGACATGGTGAGACAGAAAGCAGATTTCCAACACATCAATGATCCTTCATCAGGGTAGTATCATCCAAGAAGTCCTGATGATATTTTTTCCCCCATTTATTTATTTTATTGCATTTTAGGTTTTGGGGTACATGTGAAGAACATGCAAAATTGTTGCAATAGGAACACACGTGGCAGTGTGATTTGCTGCCTGATGATATTTCTTAAGAGAACAAGAAGCTCAGTAACTTTTCTATAAAAAGCCAAAACAAGACAACAGAATTCTAAAAAGAATTATATTCACTCTCTTGATGTTTAGGCTGGACTTTTACATTCTAAGAAAGAAGGTCACTGTTTCCTGGGGCCTCACATAGATGTGCTAAAATTTGAAATATTTATGTTAATCCCTACATTTAGCCCCCAATGAGCAAATGGAATTGGAGGTCTCAGGTGAATGGTATAAATGACACACGATGACCGATTAATTCAATGCAGTACCCTCCCCACTCAAAAAAAAAAAACAAAACTTTAAAGTCCCCCTAAAAAAAACTGCTACAAATAAATTTGAGACTATGACAAAGAATGCATTACTTTAAATAAAGAGCTCTCCCAACCCATGATCAATAGCTCAGCATATTAAAAGGTTTTTTTTGTGATGGAATTCTGCTCTTGTTGCCCAGGCTAGAGTACAGTAGTGTGATCTCGGCTCACTGCAACCTCCACCTCACAGGTTCAAGTGATTCTCCTGCCTCCACCTCCACAGTAGCTGGGATTACAGACACCCACAACCACACTTAGCTAGTTTTTGCATTTTTAGTAGAAACGGGGTTTTGCCATGTTGATCAGGCTGGAATTGATCATCTGACCTCACATGATCTGCTCGACTCTGCCTCCCAAAGTGCTGGGATTACAGGCATAAGCCACTGTGCCCAGCCTATGAAAATGATGAAGAATTAAGAAACTGCATAAAACATTTGTAATCCCAGCAATTTAAAAGCCTAAGGCAGGTGGATCACCTGAAGTCAGGCGTTCAAGACCACCCTGGCCAACATGGTGAAACCCCTTCTCTACTAAAAATACAAAAGTTAGCAGGGCGTGATAGTGCACACCTTTAATCCCAGCTACTCTGGAGGCTGAGGCAGGAGAATTACTTAAACCTAGGAGGAGGTTGCAGTGAGCCAAGCACACACCACTGCCCTGCAGCCTGGGTTAAAGAGTAAGATGCTGTCTCAAAAAAACAAAACCAAACCAAACAGCATGACTTTTAAATATACTTAAAAAACAGTTACTGATAATATAAATAAGAGCCAAAATGATGCACCACGTTTGACATGCGAGGCTGATGCCCACCATGGTTGCCTGGACCCTGCTGTGCTATGGGTGAAGGAAAAAGTGCTTCTACGTTAGCCAAAGTGTAAATGGGTGCCATCTTTTTGAAGGGTACTCTGGCAATATGGATTCATTTTAAACACAAATATTACACCCAGCCTTGCTCAAAACAGCAAGACTGAAGACCATGTAGGAGTCGATTAATAACAGGTGCGTTAATTTACGCACCAAAGTACCCTGCATCCTTAAAAAGGCCTGACAATCAGCGCAGAAAAGCGCCCCCATCTGGAAGGCGCTTAACACCACACACGTGCACAGAACATCTTTGGGTGATGAGCAGAAAATAGGGAGGAGACACCCAGTGGGGCAGAGAAGGACTCACTTCACTCCAGACCTTCTCGTATTGCAGCTCTTTCAAAGTAATACTGAAAAAGGCCGGACGCACGGCTCACACCTGTCATGCCAGCACTTTGGGAGGCTGAGGCAGGCGCATCAACTGAGATCAGGAGTTTGAGACCAGCCTGGCCAACGTGGTGAAACCCGTCTCTACCAAAAATACAAATTTAGCTGGGTGTGGTGGTGGGTGCCTGTAATTTCAGCTACTTGGGAGGTTGAGGCAGGAGAATTGCCTGGACCTGGGAGATGGAGGTTACAGTGAGCAGAGATCGGGGATCTGAAATTGCCACTGCACTCCAGCCTGGGCAACAGAGGGAGACTGTCAAAAACACAAAAACCCCAAATCACCAAATTAATACTAAAAAGTACAACCCACTAAAAAGTCATTTTAATAGAAGCTAAGTAGACACAAATGAATCTCACCAAGACGATTGAGTATTCTTACCACTACCCATCCATGGAAGACCAAAAGAGCAGGTCCACGTGCTACTGATGATGGAACACTGAAGTTGATGTGCTGTGTTGCTTAAAATAGAACCATGGCAAGAAATAAGTTTTTCTACACATTCCAGTATTTAGGGACAATATTGACCATTGGCAAATGGAAAAATACTTATTTTTGAGCACATGTTAAAAAGCTTACATCCTAACCACGGAACAATTAAAATTTTCTAGTTTTTCTCCCCCTCTAGGTCAACATAAACCACCTGGATACATAGAAATTGAAACAAAACACAGAAGACAAAGACTCTCAACTTAGGCAATGAAATTAAGAAGCGAAGTTTAAAAGAGAATTAATTTCAGATTGTCATATCTAAACGCTATCTAAATACATGTAATTTAAACTAAACATTTGCCTTACCACACTACACAATCTTCTAAAGGGGTTGGAGGACCAAGAAGAGAACCAGGGCTGTAAAAAACAATGAAAACCTCAGGGGTGGGTAAGGAAATCAGTATGGTGTAGGGATGGGGGTTTTATTTTTAGGATGAGGTTATTGAGCAAGTTCATATGTTCAGAGCTCAGAATAAAGGTAGAAGCAGTAAGAAGACAATGAAGGCTCTTGTCTATCTCCTGCCTTAGGTGATGCATAGCATTTCATTTAAACTATTTTTATTTTTTTCCCATTTATTTATTTTATTCCATTTTAGGTTTTGGGGTACATGTGAGGAACATGCCAGATTGTTGCATAGGTACACACGTGGCAGTGT